AGGAAGCTGGCAGAGAAGAGCAGCTTGGCTGGGAGAAGGGAGGAGGCGATGTCTCAGAGACGGCTCTGAGAGGGCCCCCCTGAGCCCGGGCCCCACCTCCCCTGCCCCACTTCGTCCTCACCCAGAATCTTCACACTCTCATTGCCAATGCCATCGGTGGCATACTGGCCCCAGTAGATGCAGAAAAACAGGAGGCTCAGGACTGGGGAGAGGATGGGCAGAGAGGAAGGGACAGAAACACCCTTATGGGCATCACTGTCCTCTGGCACTGAGATCCAGGCAGCCTGAACCCCTCCTCTACCCCCACCAGGACCCTAGACCACCTACCCCCACTGACCTGCTGTGAGACCCAGGGGTCCTGGCCTCGGCCCCTCCCCTCAGACCTGGAGTCTGGGTCCCCAGCTCCCTCCTCCTCTGACCTGCCTAGGTTCTCAGCCTCTCCCAGGCCCAGGTATCTGGACCCCAAGTCCTTTCTCAGCAGCTGGGACACTAAACCTCACCCTCCACTCCTGCTGCAGCCATGAACATTTTGTAAGTCGTGTGGAGCAACTGTCGGCCTTTTAGCAAATCTAGGAACGAGGGGGAAAGGCTGTCCACAGACTGAAAGAGTAGCCATGTCCTCCAACTTTGTCCCCCATGTCTCCAACCCTCCCCCCTACATATTGGACTCACATCCAAAATAACAGGAGAGAAAGAAGATGAGGATGAAGATGAGGAGGAAGGTCACGTCCGTCTCTAGGATGCCTGCCAATGTGGTGGCAAGAAGAAACAGGTCATTGGGGTGGGTGTCCCTCAGTAGGCCTCAAGCCCTGGGTTCCCGCACAGGCCCCCATCTGCTCACCAAATTCATCAGCTGAGAAGTGTCGAGTCCAGAAGGACTTGCCGTTGGTGAGGACCATCTCATACTCCAGCTGCAGTCCATCTCCCTGTAGGGAGCGAGGAGGCCTAAGGGGGGCCCTGGGCAGGGATGGGGTGGGCAGCAAGGTACAAAGGAGGAGGCCCAGGTGGCCGCCCCAGCCCCTTACCCCGCACTTGCTGAGCGCGATGTACCACCACCTCTCACGCACTGAGCGGAAGCTGCGGCCACTGGAGCAGCTCAGGTAGCGGGTGCCCTCCTCTGACACCACCTGGGGAGAAGCGAGAAGGCTGAGGCCTGTCCTCAGTGCACCCAGGCCCTGGATCTTCAGCACCTGCCCACTCCACCAGCAGGGCCCGCACCTGACAGCCTGACCAGGCATACTGGGTGGTGAGGTTGATGACCTGGTTGTTCTCCGGCCTGATCACTGACTCCTTGGCCAGGCAGTCCTGTAGAAGGCAGGGACAGGGTCACCTCCTGGCCAGCCATGACCTTCTCCTCACACGGCTTACGACTCTCACCTTGTCCCCTGCCTTGTACACAGCTGGCCACTGGGATGGATCATCAAAATAGAGGAGGATGTTCTGACAGCATTTGGCCTGCAGAAGCAGAGATTTGGGGGTTTGGGGGGATGCATGTGGAGAGCAGGGGTGGTCCCTGCTGCACCCTCGATGGGGCCAGCGGTTGGGGGAGACTCACCTCCGGATAACGGAAACGGAAGTCCAGTCGACCGTAATCGGAGAGGAAGCAAAATCTCGTCAGGAACACCCAGTCCTGAAAAAGGGACCCAGTTAGACCCTCTTCTGGGCCCTTCAAGAATCTCCTCCATTCCACGCACTCTAACTTTTCTTCCCTGTCAAGGGCTTGGCTTCCCCACGATGGAGACTGAGTCCCAAATCCTCCCACCTCTTCTCCGCGGGCCAGGATTCCTGCTACCCTCATCTCCTCCCTCGTATTCCCGTTTCCTCCCCTCCCCTCAGACACACCTCCTAGTTCTCAGGTGCACTGAAAGACCCTGCGGGCCACCTTCTGTCCAGGACAGCATCCTCGGGGCATGCCCCCAGCTCTTCACACACACGCACCACACCGCCCCCTTCTCCCCCCTCCCCCCGTCCTGTGCCGGGGAACCTGCAGCCGGCCCCCTGGTCCTGAGCGGGAGTGTGGGGAACCCGAGGCTCTGCAGACTGAAAAGTGCTGTCCCTTCAGCACCACCTCCGCGGGGGGCGGGGGGAGTGGCCACCCAGTTGGGGAGGACGTGGAGGCTCTGAGGCTCTGACCTCAACGTCCCTCCTACCACCCAAGCCCGTCCTCGACCCCACGGCCCCCGTCACCACCGACCCTGGCCCAGTCCCCCAGCGCCCCCAGCTCCCTTGGCTCCCAGGGTCCCCCCAGGAGGGCGGCAGGGGGCGGGGCGGCACCCTCTCCTCTCCCCTCCCTCTGCTCCCCCGGGGCGGCGGGCGACAGGGGAGGGCCCGGCGTGCTCACCTCCTTGGAGCTGAGGTTGCCCCGCACGTACTTGGCCCGGGCGCGGGGGGGCAGTGGCAGCAGCAGGAGCAGCAGCGGCGGCAGCAGGCGGCGCAGCGCTCCGCGCTCCCCGCCCCCTCCTCGGGATGGCTCGACCTAGCCCCTACCCTCTCCTAGTGGGAGGAGACGCTCCTTTCCCATCCGCTGTCTCCCTCCCCAGCCCGTCTTCCCCTTCAAGGGTCTCCAGGATACCCCTGGTTCCGCGTGTCCTAAACTGAACTCAAATCCCCCAACATGCCCCCTACTGACTACCGCCTCCAGGACGGCACACGACCCTCAGGCCTTCCCGGGTGTAGTTCCCCAAATTTTCTATTTTTAAAATAATTTATTTACTTCATTCCATTTGTTATTATTTTTAAAATTTGATCACACAGACACAGAGAAAGGGCAAGAGAAAACAAGCCGCCAGGTCCGTGACTCGAACCGTGATCGACTACCACGCTACCTGCCGGCCCCTTATTTATTTATTTTTTTTTAATAGAGATTTTTGGTATAGGGCGCGTGCGCTTGCCAGAGAGACAAAGAGAGACAAAAAGTAAGAAATCACGCCCCAAGGGGGATGGTCACGTGCAATCCTTTCTCCTCTCCTGATTTTTGGTTTTGGGGCACGCGAATATACACGTCCTCTGTGAGGTTGATTTATTTTTTAAGAATTATTTTATTTAACTTTATCTATTTACTTATTTTTTAATTAGACCAGACAGGGAGAGGGAATGTGAGAAAGGACGATGCCAGGTCTGGACACAGACCCAGGTCAGCCCTGTGGGAGTCCAGCAGCCCTAACCACCAAACCGCTATAAATCACTGGGTCCAGGACTGAACCACTGTCAACTACGCGGGAGTCCAGTGACATAACCATTACGCCATCTGCTGGTTGCAATACCCCCTATTCTTTTTTTTTGGAGAGGTTTTTTCGCCATAGGGCGCGTGCGCTCGCCAGACAGAGAGAGAGAGACATAGAGACAGAAAGTGAGAAATCACCCCCCAGGGGGGATGGTCACGCCGCAATCCCTTCTCCTCCATTCTCCTCTCGGGATCTTGGGCACGCACGCACACGCGCCCTGCGTGAGATCTAAGCCACCGGGTCCAAGACGTGAACCGCGGTCGACTATGTGGGAGTCCAGCGACATAGCCACTACGCTAACTGCTGGTTCCCAATACCCCCTATTCTTTGCTTGCCTATCCAGCCCCCATGGCAGCTACTCCACCTCTGATTCCAACCCAAGATGCCAGTTTTCCAGATCTGATTTACCTCGTGAAGTGCCCACAGAGGCGCAGGAAGGGCAAGCCACCTGCTCTGGGTCACAGAACACGGAGGTGGCAGAGCTCCAACCACAACCACCGAACCCCACTCCCTAACCCTGTCCTGTCACTGCTTACCAGGGTGTGACGTCAGGGCTGCTGAGAGGCAGAGGCGGTAGTATGAGATATCCAGGACCTCAGACTCAGAAACAAATTGCCAGGGTTGCCCCCTCCCCACAGACTGCCCTGAGATCTCCAGTCCCTCCATACTGCTATCGACTCTATGGTATTCCAGTGAGCAGTCTACACCACGAGAGGCTTCCCAGAGTAGGAGTCAAGGCCTTCAGCTTTGTTTTCCTGAGCAGTCTCATCACTCCTTCTCCACTGCAGAAAAGTTGCTGCTGCAAAACACCACTTTCTGGACTGGCAGGTGGCACAGTGGTTAAGGTGTAAGATCCCCAAGTGGCCAGCTGCTGTTCAAGTCCCAGACCTGGTGGTTTGCTTTCTCACTTTCCCTTTCTCTCTGTCTCTCTCTGGTCAAATTTTTAAAAATACGGGAACAAGCAGTTAGCGTAATGGCTATGTCGCTGGACTCCCACGTAGTTGACGCGGTTCGCGTCCCGGACCTGGTGGCTTAAAACTCACGCCGGGCGCGTGTGTGTGCGTGCCCAAGATCCCAAGAGGAGAATGGAGGAGAAGGGATTGCGGCGTGACCATCCCCCCTGGGGGGTGATTTCTTGCTTTCTGTCTCTCTCTCTCTCTCTCTGTCTGTCTGGTAAGCGCACTCACCCTATAGTGAAAACCTCTCCCCCCAAAAAAAAATTTTTTTAAATAATAATAACAAATAAAATAAATTTTTTTTTTTTAAATTTTTGGAGAGGTTTTTCCCACGGGCTGTGTGTGCTTGCCAGAACTGCATGATGGAGGCCACGTGCCCAACCATGGGTTTGCCTCTCCGGCCTGGTCAGACACCCAGGATTCTGGTGAGCAATAGGACTTGGGAAAGGGTGCCATGGTGTGGTAGAGCCCTGTCAGGATGTCCCGCACCCCATCAGCATGTCCACGCTGTCGTGAATAAAACAAACTTTAAAATAAACAAATAGCCGGCAGCATGTAGGCAAAGTGGCGGATTCCAACATAGGTAACTGCACGGTTCAAGTCAGAGACTTGGTGGCTTGAAAAATACTCTGGGCACGTATGCATGTCCCAAATCCTGAGGACAATGGAAGAAAACAGACTGTGGATGCTCATCCCCGTGGCGGGAGGGGGGTGCCTTCTCACTTTCCTTTTCTGTTTCTCTCCAGCACACGCCCTATAGCATTCTTTTTTTTAAAGAATATTTATTTGGGCCAGCCAGGTGGCATGGTAGTCAAGGGTGCTGGACTCCCCACATGGCCTATTACAGTCCAAGTCCTGGACCTGGCATCTTGATCTCTCACTTTCTCTCTCTCTCCCTCTCCCTCTCTGGTCAAATAAAAATAAATAAATATATAAATAATGTTAAATAAAATGTTAAAAAAAAAAAAAGAGAGAGAGAGAGAATTATTTGGGACCAGCAGGTGGGATAGTGATTAAGGTGTTGGACACTCCCACATGGGCAACCATGGTTCAAGTCTTGAAACTGGTGACTTGCTTTCTCACTTCCCCTCTCTCTCTCGCTCTTTATCTTTGTGTGTTTCTCTCTGGTTGAATTAAAATAAATGAATGAATAAATTTTTAAAAATTTAATTAGTGGGAACCAGCAGTTAGCGTAATGGCTATGTCGCTGGACTCCCACGTAGTCGACCGCGGTTCGAGTCCCGGACCCGATGGCTTAAAACTCACGCTGGGCGCGTGTGCGTACGTGCCCAAGATCCCGAGAGGAGAATGGAGGAGAAGGGATT